AACCGTGCCTGAGCGCCCAAGAACATGTAGTTTTAAAGAGTCGGGGGCAAGTTGGGGCAGATAATTTATTGATGGCTTGATAGACAAAACTCTAAGCTATTCAACGGATCTTGAACTGATGCCTTACAATTCATTACAATTTTTGTAGCTCCATTGTTCTAAAAGCAAAATCTACGAAAAACAAATAGATATCTGAATTTTACATACCTTGAAGATCACCCTTCATCAAACCGCATAACAATCGGACACACCAAACACAAGTTATTCACTTTTAAACAATAAACAATTTTCCGCAGCGATCGCGTGTAAAGTACCTTCAACTGAAAGCGTTAAGTTTAAACTGATTTACAAGACAAAATATACGTATTTTATATAAATTTTTTTTCAATACAGGATCTAACTCAACATGTCAATTTTTTAGATTTTGCCGATATATTCGAGAATTGAAACACTGTGGGCCGGGTTGTTGAAACGATCTGTTCCATATATCTACATTTGCTAATACATACGTTATCTACTCCTGATTAAGGAGTCCTTAATTAAATAATTAAAAAAATTATTCGTATAGATGTTTACTTTAAATATTAGGTATATATTTTTTAAATTAAATATTAATTAATTTGAATATAAACATATGGTACTCTTACATACAAATACATTTTATAATTAAATTTAAAAAATCTCATATTTTTGTTTTAAATATAGCCATGAGTTTAAAATGTATGTTTAAATTTAAGTACCTATATCAATTGTTTGATTTTTAAACATATTTTAATCTTGGGTCAATTATTTCGCAGAATTGCGTATGTATATGGAAACAAATTATATGTTTAACTGAAATAAGTATCGTTTAACCATAATACCCATACATTTTTATGTGTGTACTTTTTGTTGTATTTTTTTGTCGTAATTTATTTTATATTTTTTATTAGTGTTTACCAGTTTATTATTCACTTGTTTATTATTACTTATTTAGTAATATTTGTTCATTTTTCTGTAAATAAAAATGTTTTTGTAATTTGGTATTTTTTAATAATAAAAATGTTATCACTTGAACATTTTGGTGGATTAAAACTTAACATTAATCACACTTTACTGGGAAAAGGGTGATTTAAATTCAAGTAATAATCAAAAAAATCTATAATTGCTGACAGTTCTAAAGCTATCTAACCTCACTTTATACTTTGAAATTAAAAAGTTTTAATAATTGTTATTATAATAATTATTGTAAGCACGTTTTATGTATCATTTAACAAAGAAAAATGTTCCATGAAGACAAAAAGGTTATGTGCCATTCGGCTGAGGCGTGTCTTTTTGTGCTCCGCTCATTTGGAGCTCAAATTGGAGCTCAGCACAAAAATTTGACTTTTACTAAAAACCTTACAATACTTTTAAAGATTGATTAAGTAAATTAATAAATATTTTTCTACTTCTATTACGGAATAGGACCGTTCTAATATCACTTTTTATTGTTAAATGGAATTCAGAGTAAAACCGAATATAGGGAAACACAGTAGCTAAGCGAATGTTTTTTGCATTATTATCATTTAATTTTCAAGGTCGTCTTACCTGCTCGACCTTTCGCCATGTCGTTTATCACACAAGCTAATATTCGGTTTTACTCTGAACGGGATGTATATTCCTGAAAGTATTGCAGAATGAATTATTCTATCATCGGATGGCGGAATAAACACTGGTGGCGACATCTCTGTGTTTAATATCTAATAAATTTAGACCGATTCAACCTCACTTTCTCCCAATTAAATTACTTTTCTATGGTATTATTTGAAAACGTAGAAAAAGTATAGTCTGAAACACGTTTGGAATTGCATATTCCGCTGTCGTAAAACCGCCTTCGGCTCGTGTCGTTTTCACTCGAGTGGAATATGCCTTATTCCAAACTTGTTACAGAACATACTATTCTATAGAAAGCATTTAACAAACCAAATAACGGCATTATCTTTAGAACTATATTTAATGAAAAATAAACTCGCAAATATGAAAAAGTTTAATTAAATCCAAATTATTTTATACGGGCATTTCCTTCTGTCATAGAAACCATCAAAAACTTTGATGTACAGATGTGCGCCAGTCACTTTACCAACCGATTTTCCTTTTGCATTTCATACTTTTATACTCTATTAAGGCTGTCTTTCTATCAATTTCAATTTTCACCGTTGAAAGGTTTTCACCTGCGCGTTTAATTCAATCGAACCAAGTATATAAATGCATTTGCGTCTCTGCGCGGCGAATCCTTGGATTTTTGCCAGTGTGTAGCCCCTTTAAAATCCCGACGTAAACTTTCAACAGTTGATTGACGTCGCCAGAGTCGTCCCGAAAGGGGATGCAGTAAATCGGAGTACTTATTCAGCTTTGTAAAAGTCACGTAGGCTCTGATTTAGAAATAAAAACTGTAATTTGCTTACAGATAAATATTTAGTACAATTTAAATATGAACATTTTTTTTTAGTTTAATCCAAGGAAGTAAAATCAAACTCGACGACTTGCTTTATTGTGTAAAAACGGTATAAGATATTTCGAAAGTTTGTTAAAATCAAAAATATGTTTGTATTTACTTTTTGGAAACTTCATGGATATGGTAATGTTTAAACTTACTTTTTAGTAGACATTGCGATCATTTACTTGTCCTGAATTCAAGTTATATTGCTTTATCAGTGTTTATTAATGAAAGACTTTTTATTCTCCATTAAATTTGGATGACTCGGTCCAGCACTGATTGACATAAACAACGGCCCGTCTCGACGTGTCGTCAGCAAATACTGACAGGGACAATCCGTTGTTTATGAACAGTCGATCAAAATTTAGACTGTTTATCCTCGCCCTATGTGGTATAGCTGATTTATAGATGGCGCAATTTGTATACGATTAACAAGCTTATCGGATCATTTTTGTCGAAGATTGTGAGGATTTCTAGTGTAAACTCAAAATTATAGTCGCCAAATACAACTAAAAATGAATTAATCAAAAATGACTTATTTAATAGTAATTAGTGGCTGCTTTTTCACTTGTACCATGGTTAACCATGGAATACCATGGTATCACAAAATTTATCAGCCAATTCTTATGTAAAATTGTTTCCTGAATCCGAAAATACCGTCAAAAATTATAAAAGTGGAACAGTTTTTGAGATATAGTCAATTACATATTAAATGGAAAATTGAATATATCTCAAAAACTGTTCTACTTTTTTTTAACTTTTGACGACATTTTCGGATTCAGGGGACAATTTTACATAAGAATTGGCTGTTAAATTTTTTGATACCATGGTATCCCATGGTTAACCATGGTACAAGTGAAAAAGCAGCCACTAATAACTATTAATTTAGTCATTTTTGACTAATTCATTTTTAGAGAGTACTTTCATTTACAATTTAAGTTTTTTCTCTACTAGATTTTTACCACCACCATCTTTTGTTTTTCCTATGGCCACCATATTGAAATTTTACATGGTTAAATCAAACAATTAAACGATGTATCAAACTTACTACATAAGTTATGGCGGCCATTATAAAAACAAAAGATGGTGATGGTAACTCAAAACATAGTAGCAGAGAAATTATCTGAAAATGTTGATAAATGTATTTGTTTTTTATTGTAATATTTTGGAACCACTGTTTTTTCCTATTTTTAAATTTAATTTTAATAGGCTTGTATACAGATAGAAGGATACTTGGTGCCAACTGTATATGATTTTTAATTCAGATATTAAAAAATAATATGAAAAATAAGACAAAAAAAACGTTTAAACATTCTAGGCTAATCCAAAATTTAAATTAAATAAATATCATTCATTGATCCCGGGGCATTCGCCATTTTGTAAATATTAGGTTGTATCGGTTTTGAACAAATTTGAACAAAAAACTATAAATGCTAAAAATTTTTAAAAAATTATATAAAAGTAAACATTCAATAGAAATACCACAAGACGAGGAATAATTTTCTAAAAATATTCATGAGCAAGAAAAAATTTCAGGATTTTTAAAGTTATATTTTTTAAATTTTAACAATGCCTATTTTTTTCTCTTTGACAATACACCACCATAATTTCTACCCATTCTAGTTGCACGTAAATACCATTTTAAGACTTAACATAGTACATTCTTTAATTTTAGATAAATAAGTGGTAGAAAATTGCTTTTTTTCGTTTTTATTTAATTTTTTATATGTACACTTTATATGAGGTGCATAACCAGCGGCAGCGAACATCATAGGGGGCTGTGTTCATCGTAATTGAAGGAGGCAGTTGTTTATCATATTTTGACAGTACAAAACTTCAGGAAAATTCGTGTTTTGTAGTAAACAGAACATTTTGCAGTCAAAACAAACAAGTTTATTTATTTTGAAAATAAATCGATTTGAAAGTCATGCTGTATGCAAATTATGCACAAAATTGTCCGATGTAATGATCAATCATCGTGCCATGTCATATTTAGCCACACTAATAGAAGATTGTTCTTGCCATTAGAAGGAAGAAAATTTGTTTCGAATTGTTCAGGAATATTTGCTTTTAAATTACTCAAAATTAAAAGTAATTAATAGAAAAATGTAAATTGTTATACGCTTAAAAAAAAAATATTTTACAAATTTTAGGTCCAGTTTTTAAAAGATCTTCGAGAATGTTAATTTTGATATAATATAAAAAAAATGATTTATAGTTTTGTTTTAATTTTTTCAAAAGAATATTATGAAAATTCGTATAAAAATAAGTGTGGTATATAACCTAAACACAGTAAAATGTATATCATATATGTATATCAAGTAGGACTAATTTAAAATATTTGAAAATAAAAAAATAAATTCATATTTGAAATTTCCATTTGAAACAAAAATAACAGGCGCAATTTGTATGAAACGTTATTTAGGCCAAAGCTGCACTCGCCCTAATAAAATATTACTTTAAAATTAAAAAAGTAATATCCAAAAGCAGCCCCGTAAAAATTCTACTATAATAACTAATAAACGTTTTTATTTTTTTGCAGATGCACCATCCTATACAAATGAAGCCAGCAGACAGCGAAAACAGAAACGGTGAGTTGAAAGATCATTACATTATTTTTGAATTTCCCACTCAATAGCGCACAGTGTTTTAAAGTGGAAAAATAGTGCGCACATATTAATTATTTTAATGGATTTTCGACATCATGTGAAACATTTATTATATTAAGCCTTCTTATTTTAAAATACGATAAATCCCCAAATTATTGCGATTGATTTTATTTTCTTCTTACATTTAATTAACCTTTTTTTTGTAAAAATCAAAAAATAATATTCTTTTTAATTTCTCTGGACTAACTCGATCGTGGGGAAAACAAAGAAAAATCAACTTTATAATTTTTGTTTTCAGACTTTCTTATAAAATTTACTAAAAAAGTTTTAAAGAGTACTTCTCGCTTGAATAGATTTCACGTTATTGTTGAAAATTCACAATTTTTTAAATCAGTGTTTTTTTCTGACGATCAAAACTTTTTAACTTAAATATATTTTCCTTTTTGTAAACTCAATACTGTATATTTAATTTCCTAATTTTTATTAAATTCTATAATGAAAAATATTGAATAATCTACATTTTACCATTTCTCTCTTAATTTTATTATTTAAATTGAGTATGAGTATGAGTATGAGTATGAGTATGAGTATGGGAACGTATGGCAGGCCCTAAATATATTATCATCCACTAATCTCCCGGGGTTATTTTACCCCCTTTCCGTTCTCCTGCGTATCCCGCCAAATCACAGCATTACCTGTGTTTGTTGGATCTGAAGTTTTTACGCCAGCTGGTAGATTCACCCTAGGAGGTCGTGGATGACAGTGTCAGGTCTTAATTTTATTAGATTAAATTTTATTATAAAAGGTGTCCCTACTATTTCTGTAGAACGTTTGATGACGTCAAAATAGATCAATTCAAGCTAAAAAAAATTCCTTCGTTTATCCGTTAGAGGGCATCTAACACTAGTAGTAGTGACCGACTATAAATAAATAACCAAAAGGCACATGTCATGTAAACATTACTTTTGATTTTTTTGTCATCAAATATGACAACCCACGTATTTTTGAAACAATTTCAAAAATCCTGACGCCCTCTACCAACTACACGAAGCAATATCGGATACAATTAACTTGTCTGTCATCCAGTGTTGCCAACCTCAAAATAAAAATTATGGTACACATTTAGAAAAATTATGGTACAATATGGTACGCGCCAAACAAATAATTGTACATTTTAGGACTAAAATTCAAGCAACTAGGCACTTTAAGAAAAGTCATTTTTATTTTAACACAAACTTTGGTTAAAAAAATAATAAATTATTTTAAAATAAATAAATTAACACTTTTAATCAAAAATAATATCTCATTCATCACAGTCTTGATTATTGTACAAATTCTCTTTAGTCATGTATTTGCACATATTTTCTGAGGGCTCGAAATTTATACAAATTTTTTATACCGCTCGAAAAAATCATTTCTTAAAAACCATAGAGGTGAAAAACAAAAGTTTGAATAGAAAAGAACATAACAGCAGTTTATGAAAATTTAATACTATACTGGCAGGACTGATCGCAACGTTGCCTAATTTATTTTCGGTGCAAAATCATGCTTAAAAATTATAATACATAAATTATGTTAAAACAATATTGTAAAAAAGGAAATTATGGTACAATTATGGTATTATGGTACGCTACAAAATAGAAGGTACAGACCTTTAAAATTATGGTACAAATACCATAATTATGGTACGGTTGGCAACACTGCTGTCATCAAACGTTCTACATACCTTTTAGGGACACCCTGTAGATAAGTTTTATTAAAAAAAGTTTAATAGTAATAGTAGTGTTAGTGTAGTGTTTTTAATGACAAAATGTTCAATCAGGCAACACAATAATAAAAAATGTAAAATCCATTGAAACACCAAAACAGGGTTACATTTCGTTCGTAACTTTTTATAGTTAAATTGTATTTGGAATTTAGAAAGTTTTTTTACTGTGCGTCGGGTGCTTTGTGGATTTCGTTTTTTTGTCCATTCTTAAAATCCATTTAACCGTGATTTACATTTACGTGTAGTGTATAGTTTTAATCTCCAAAAAGTGTACACTCCACAACTATTATTTCAAAGCTTTTTGCCGGTCGGCCTTTCAGCTACCGAACGCTAATATTTCAGCGGGCGCACAGAAAGCGTTTTGTGTTGTGCCCTTTTTCATTCGCTTCCCTGCAAAATAATTCTAATTAAGCTGCGTGTTTACGATTAGGTACATGTAAAGTCGTTTTAAAATGCGTATTAAAAAAATATACTTTTTTTCTACGATTGATATGATATATATTTTTTAATTTTGTGAACGATAATAAAGATTATTAACGCGAATGACACACAACAACATATTGGAACAAGGGGGTTTATAAGTACCTATTATAGGGACAATAATGTCTATTATATGGATCGGAAAGATACATAATAAAAGAAAAATGAGGACAAAGAAACGGAGCAGAAATGAACGTTTGCTGTTGCTACTGTGTTGACATAAAAGCAAAGAAAATAGAGAGTATGAGAAAAAGCTGCCATAATAACGATATTAATAACGTCGAAATATTAGATACACCAACATTGCTGGAGGCCGTTGTTACGCCGAACATTCTTTTTTTAATCATGCGATTATCGATGATATTTCGGTGATTACGCTTCGAGTTTGTTTATCTGTTTGGCTTTGGTTGCCAAAAAATATCATGATATATGTATACCCGTATAAAATAACAATAATATACTACTGCTCATATTTACAAAGGAATTATAGCAAATTATTTGGTATTATATGCAAAGCAGAACATTATTAATTCAATGTCAATATTAAAAAACATATACATTTAAAAACCTTTAACGGCATTAAATTTTCTTTAAATTGACGCTCCGATTTTTAAATTTGTGCTGCGGGTTGCCGAGAAATTTAATTTAATTTAATTGACTAGTACGTATTATCTTATTAACTGTTGAAAATGTCCCCTGTTCACCTTCATACAATAATACAGCAACTGTTCAAATTGTTCCCGGACATTGTTAAGAATATCGGATGTAATTTGATGGCATTCATTAGTTATGCAGTTCCGAAAATCTTCTAAGAATTCAGGCTGGGTGGCATGAATTTTGGATTTCAAATATCCCCACAAAAAGAAATCAAGGGGAGATAAATCCGGTGATCTCGCGGGCCTTTCGATAGCACCCCTTCTCCCAATCCATCAACCAGGAAACGTTTCACCCAGAAACTGCCGTACAGGTAATGCATAATGGGGAGGAGAATCGTCTTGTTGAAATATCCGATTTTCTTCATGGTATCGTTGGTCGTTTTCTTAATTTCGGTCGGCGCTGATTTGACGGCATTCCTCAATAAGTCTAAGTAGCTTAAATTTCCCGGTATGAAAAATGGTCCAATTATGTGATCACCAAAAATACCAGCCCACACACTGTTCAAAATTTCATGACCATTTTAACATTGGTCAAATTAAATCATACTACACAGAAAAAAAGGAAAAAAAGGAAACAGGAAGTTCCTTGACGCATTACTAGTATATTACCAGTGGTATTATTCCAGAAAATGGAACTTTCAACTCGCTAGAGATAATTTTTTTAGTGCGTTCCACCAACTTAAAATACTTCAAGGATTGACAGCTGTTTCCATCTATTTAAGGCCTCTTTAGTATCGAACAACTTGTAGTGTCACACCAAAGCAAAGGACTACCTGAGCTTATATACTCTTCATGCAAGTCAAGAGAGGCGAGATTTAAGAACATCACGTGATCAACCGCCTTTATCGCGATCGGTACATACTATGCAACCAGGAATGTACGGCAAATTGTTTTAACCGTTTTAACAGAGTGCTTTAGGTTGAAGTAACTCTTATTTTACAAACAACATATTTAGTAATCTGAACCATACAGCGGATTGGTTTTCCCTAAAGTTTTCTGGGTTAATTTAACCAATTTAAAAAAAAATAAAATAACTATCTGGTTTAGTACCGTCAAACTAATCTTTGTTTATATAAACCTTTTCACAGTTGATTTAAATAAATACTTATGGGTCAACTAAATTAATATAGTTAAATGAACTACCTTTTTTGTGTAGGTGCACTTCTTAAATAATTTTAGATAAACACCGTTTAGGTGTTTGCTGTATATAACATTTTCAACCATAATTCATGGTGTTTATATTAACACCACTTGGTGATTACTAGATTACTCTTTACACCACAGATATTTCAAACACTGCACGTTTAATTTCTGAGGATGTTGAGTGTGAACCTCCTGGAAGATCCTTGGATTCGTGTCGGACCAACGACAATTATGACGATTGACAATGCCATTGAGAAAAAATGAACTTTCGTCTAAGAAGCAAACATTTAAAAGGTAGTTGGGAGTATTTATAATTATTTCGGACAATATTTCACAAAATTATAAACAACGGTCATTATCATCTTCATGCAATTATTGAAGAAGTTGAATTTTATTATGTGAAGTGGCACGCGAAACTCCCATTACATCCGAATTTTTTTTGGGTTAATGTAGGGTCCAAAGTAATTTTACCCAGAACAGCTACTTCTATTGCCTTATTACTCACCGGATTTTTAATATCTCGTTTTTCATTTGCCACTGAACCAGTTTGCCGGAAGTTTGCTACTAATTCCAGGATTTAACCATGATGTAGGTGTCTATTTGCATGCCTTTTATTAAAGCCTGCCTTCACTAAAGCATGCCTTTCATTAAGTTGGCGTTACTCTTGCATATTGATTGTTTATAAAATACAATGCAATAATTTCCACTCTCCGCAATAGAATAATTTAATTTTTTATCGAATAGAAATAATGAACTATCCACATCAACTAATTTACTGAAGATAAAGTTGATTTATCGACTGATATTTGTTAGTTTAAAAACATTTTTTCAACGATTTTTTTGCTTTAGGAAATTTGTAAATAAGCGGTCCAGTAAAATGTTCGTAATTCCATTGCTCGGCGATGCCTAGCTCAAATTTAAAAAATGAAGCTACA